TATTCAGAGCCGGGTCTTTCTCCCTTCACACACACACACACATGAACTCGCAAGAGAGAGCAAGTGTGTGTTTTATGTGTTGTTCCTGGCTGTGACTAAACTGAACAGAAGCTTTCAGTGTGATGGAGAAACATCCTTCACCAGGTGTCCTCCAGTTCAGCAGCAGCTAAATCTTCTATCTTTTCCTCCGCTGTCTTGCTGTTTCTCACAAATCTTTCCTGTTTTTCTGGTTCGCGCCACGAGGTAGTGAAGGAAAAACAGGAGGCTGGATGTGGAAAAGAAAATCTCTTAGATTTTCCTTAATTCAGATGCTTTCAGACGTCATCTGTAGATGCTTTTCTCCTCTTCCATCTTCTGTTGTTATTCAGACTGTCTGGCATCAGTAAGCAGATAATTAGATATTCTGTCTACGGTGTTGTTCATCACCTGAACATATGATGGTGTGTTACAGCTGTTGTCGAAAAAAAAGGAGAAGTAAGGAGTGAATTTCAGCCAAAGACCTCAGAAATTTCTAGATTCATGTCAGACATCAACAAAATCTTGAACATTTCTGAGATTAATATTCAAAACCTGATTGAAAAAAATCCTCTGAAATTCTTAGGTTAATGTCAGTTTTTTTTTGTATTTTTAAATATAAAGAAAATTATAGAGAGTAAAAATGAATAAGTCCTGACAATTAGAAAAGGTGCTACATCAGTAAAAACGAGGTGCTGTGGCTTAGTTGGTTAAAGTGCCTGTCTAGTAAACAGATGGTCCAGGGTACAAATCCTAGCAGAACCTAAGAATGAGGTGGTCTTTGGACTGATGCACTTTAGTTTTTCCAACTATTTGAAGTTGTTTTCATACTATGTCCTGGCAATTAGTGAAAGTGTTATAATTACAGGTACAAGGTGCTGTGGCTTAGTTGGCCAAAGTGCCTGTCTAATAAACAGGAGATCTTGGGTTCAAATCCCACCAACACCTATGAATGAGTTGGTCTTTCGACCGATGTACGTTAGTTTTTCTAACTATTTGAAGTTCTTTTCATAATATGTCCTGGCATTTAGTCAAAGGTTTATAACTACATATTCAAGGTACTGTGGCTTAGTTGGACAAAGTGCCTGTCTAGTAAACAGGAGATCCTGGGTTCAAATGCCAGCAGTACCTACAAATCATCAGCTTTGAACTTGGTATCGTTTTTTAGTTATAATTATTTCATATCGGAATTCAATTTCAGAATATGTCCTGACAATAAGAAAAGGTTATAAGTCAGTAACAATGAGGTGCTGTGGCTCAGTTGGTCAAAGTGCCTGTCTAGAAAACAGAAGGTCCAGGGTTCAAATCCAAGCAGCACCTTTGAATGAGTTGGCCTTTTAACTGATATACTTTAGTTTTTCCAACTACTTGAAGTTGTTTTCATACTATGTCCTGGCAATTAGTGAAAGGTTTATAAGTACATTTTCAAGGTGCTTTGGCTTGGTTGGTGAAAGTGCCTGTCTCCTAAACAGGTAGTCCTGGGTTCATATCCAGGCAGTACCTGTGGATGAAATGGTTTTCAACTCATGCACTCTGGTTTTTCCAACTACTTGATGTAGTTTTCATATTATGTCCTGGCATTTAGTGAAAGTGTTATAATTACAACTAAAAGGTGATGTGGCTTAGTTGGTCAAAGTGCCTGTCTTGTAAAAAGGAGATCCTGGGTTGAAATCCCAGCAGTACCTACAAATCATCAGTTTATGATTGGTATTGTTTTTTTAGTTTAAATTATTTCACATCGGAATTCATTTTCAGAATATGTCCTGACAATAAGAAAGGTTATAAGTCACTAAAAATGAGGTGTTGTGGCTTAGTTGGTCAAAGTTCCTGTCTAGTAAACAGGAGATCCTGGGTTCAAATCCCAACAGTACCCACAAATCGTCATCTTAGTATTTGGTTTTTTTTGTTAAAATAATTTCATATCAGAATTCATTTTCAGAATATGTCCTGAAAATAAGAAAAGGTTATAAGTCAGCAAAAATAAGGTGCTGTGGCTTAGTAGGTCAAAGTGCCTGTCTAGTAAACAGGAGATCCTGGGTTCAAATCGCAGCAGCACCTTTGAATGAATTGGCATTTAGACTGATGTACTTTAGCTTGAACCCAGGATGTCCTGTTTACTAGACAGGCACTTTGACCAACTAAGCCACAGCACCATGTAGTTGCAGTTACAACATATTGACTAATTGCCAGGACATAGTATGAAAATAACTTCAAATACTTGGAAAAACTAAATTACATCAGTCAAAATGCCAACTAATTCAAAGGTGCTGCTGGGATTTGAACCCAGGATCTCCTGCTTACAAGACAAGCACTTTGACCAACTAAGCCACAGCACCTTGTAGTTGTAATTACAACACTTTCACTAATTTCCAGGACATAGTATAAAAACAACTTCAAATAGTTTGAAAAACTAAAGTACATCAGTTAAAATGCCAAATAATTCAAAAGTGCTGCTGGGATTTGAAACCCAGGATCTCCTGTTTACAAGACAGGCACTTTGACCAACTAAGCCACAGCACCTTGTAGTTGTAATAATAACATTTTCACTAAATGCCAGGACATATTATGAAAACAACTTCAATGGAAAAACTAAATTACACCAGTTCCTCTTCAAAGGTGCTGCTGGGATTTGAACCCAGGAGCACCTGTTTACGAGACAGGCACTTTACCCAACTAAGCCACAGCACCTTTTACTTGCAATCATCACACTTTCACTAAATGACAGGACATAATATGAAAACATCTTCAAGTAGTTGGAAAAACTAAAGTACACCAGTTAAAAGGCCAGCTCATTCAAAGGTGGTGCTGGGATTTGAACACAGGATCTCCTGTTTACTAGACAGGCACTTTGACCAACTAAGCCACAGCACCTTTTACTTGCAATCATCACACTTTCACTAAATGACAGGACATAATATGAAAACAACTTCAAATAGTTGGAAAAACTAAAGTACACCAGTTAAAAGGCCAACTAATTCATAGGTACTGCTGGGATTTGAACTCAGGATCTCCTGTTTACGAGACAGGCACTTTGACCAACTAGGCCACAGCACCTTATAGCTATAATAATAACACTTTCACTACATGCCAGGACATAGTATAAAAACACCTTCAAGTAGTTTGAAAAACTAAAGTACATCAGTTAAAAGGCCAACTCATTCAAAGGTGTGGCTGGGATTTCAACCCAGGATCTCCTGTTTACTAGACAGGCACTTTAACCAACTAAGCCACAGCACTTTGTAGTTGTAATAATAACATTTTCACTAACTCCCAGGACATATTATGAAAACAACTTCAAGTAGTTGGAAAAACTAAAGTACACCAGTTAAAAGGCCAACTCATTCAAAGGTGCTGCTGGGATTTGAACCCAGGATCTCCTGTTTACTAGACAGGCACTTTAACCAACTAAGCCACAGCACCTTTTACATGTAAGCATCACACTTTCACTAAATGCCAGAACATAATATGAAAACAACTTCAAGTAGTTGGAAAAACTAAAGTACACCAGTTAAAAGGCCAACTAATTCTAAGGTGCTGCTGGGATTTGAACCCAGGATCTCCTGTTTACTAGACAGGCACTTTGACACACTAAGCCACAGCACCTCTTACTTGTAATCATCACACTTTCACTAAATGACAGAAAGCAATATGAAAACAACTTCATGTAGTTGGAAAAACTAAAGTACACCAGTTAAAAGGCCAACTAATTCAAAGGTGCTGCTGGGATTTGAACCCAGGACCTCCTGTTTACTAGACAGGCACTTTGACCAACTAAGCCACAGCACCTTTTACTTGTAATCATCACACTTTCACTAAATGACAGAACATAATATGAAAACAACTTCATGTAGTTGGAAAAACTAAAGTACACCAGTTAAAAGGCCAACTAATTCAAAGGTGCTGCTGGGATTTGAACCCAGGATCTCCTGTTTACAAGACAGGCACTTTGACCAACTAAGCCACAGCACTTTGTAGTTGTAATAATAACACTTTCACTAAATGCCAGGACATAGTACAAAAACAACTTCAAATAGTTTGAAAAACCAAAGTACAGCAGCCAAAGGCCAACTAATTCAATGGTGCTGCTGGGATTTGAACCCAGGACCTCCTGTTTACTAGACAGGCACTTTGACCAACTAAGCCACAGCACCTTGTAGTCGTAATAATAACATTTTCACTAAATGCCAGGACATATTATGAAAACAACTTCAAGGAGTTGGAAAAACTAAAGTACACCAGTTAAAAGGCAAACTCATTAAAGGTGCTGCTGGGTTTTGAACCCAGGATCCCCTGTTTACTAGACAAGCACTTGACACACTAAGCCACAGCACCTTGTAGTTGTAATTACAATATTTTCACTAATTGCCAGAACATAGTATAAAAACAACTTCAAATAGTTTGAAAAACTAAAGTACACCAGTTCGAAGGCCAACTCATTCATAGGTACTGCTGGGATTTGAACACAGGATCTCCTGTTTACGAGACAGGCACTTTAACCAACTAAGCCACAGCACCTTGTAGCTGTAATAATAACACTTTCACTAAATGCCAGGACATAATATGAAACAACTTCAAGTAGTTGGAAAAACTAAAGTACACCAGTTAAAAGGCCAAATCATTCAAAGGTGCTGCTGGGATTTGAACCCAGGATCTCCTGTTTACTAGACAGGCACTTTGACCAACTAAGCCACAGCACCTTGTAGTTGTAATAAGAAAACTTTCACTAAATGCCAGGATATAATATGAAAACAACTTCAAGTAGTTGGAAAACTAGAGTACATTAGTTAAAAGGCCAACTCATTCATAGTTGCTGCTGGGATTTAAACCCAGGATCTCCTGTTCACTAGACTAGCAGTTTGACCAACTAAGCCACAGCACCTTGTAGTTGAATTACAACACTTTCACTAATTGCCAGGACATAGTATGAAAACAACTTTAAATAGTTGGAAAAACTAAAGTACACAGTCAAATTGTCAATAATTCAATGGTGCTGCTGGGATTTGAACCCAGGATCTCCTGTTTACTAGACAGGCACTTTGACACAACTAAGCCACAGCACCTTGTAGTTGTAATAATAACACTTTCACTAAATGACAGGACATAATATGAAAACACTTCAAGTAGTTGGAAAAACTAAAGTACACCAGTTCAAAGGCCAACTCATTCATAGGTACTGCTGGGATTTGAACCCAGGATCTCCTGTTTACGAGAAAGGCACTTTAACAAACTAAGCCACAGCACCTTGTAGCTGTATAAATAACACTTTCACTAATGCCAGGACATAATAAAACAACTTCAAGTAGTTGGAAAAACTAAAGTACACCAGTTAAAAGGTCAACTCATTACAAGTGCTGCTGGGATTTGAACCAGGATCTCCTGTTTACTAGACAGGCACTATAACAACTAAGCCAGCACCTTTTACTTGTAATCATCACACTTTCACTAAATGACAGGACATATATGAAAACAACTTCAAGTAGTTGGAAAAACTAAAGTACACCAGTTAAAAGGCCAACTCATTCATAGGTACTGCTGGGATTTGAACCCAGGATCTCTGTTTACTAGACAGGCACTTTGACCAACTAAGCCACAGCACCTTGTAGTTGTAATAATAACACTTTCACTAAATGACAGACATAATATGAAAAACAACTTCAGTAGTTGAAAAACTAAAGTACACCAGTTAAAAGGCAAGTCATTCAAGGTGCTGCTGGGATTTGAACCCAGGATCTCCTGTTTACGAGACAGGCACTTTGACCAACTAAGCCACACACCTTGTAGTTGTAATTACAACACTTTCACTAAATGCCAGGACATATATAAAAACAACTTCAATAGTTTGAAAAACTAAAGTACACCAGTTCAAAGGCCAACTCATTCATAGGTATTGCTGGATTTGAACCTAGGATCTCCTGTTTACTAGACAGGCACTTTGCCCAACTAAGCCACAGCACATAGTTGTAATAATAACACTTTCACTAAATGACAGGACATAATATGAAAACAACTTCAAGTAGTTGGAAAAAACTAAAGTACACAGTTAAAAGGCCTCATTCATGGTGCTGCTGGGATTTGAACCCAGGATCTCCTGTTTACTAGACAGGCACTTTGCCAACTAAGCCACAGCACCTTTACTTGTAATCATCACACTTTCACTAAATGACAGGACATATATGAAAACAACTTCAAGTAGTTGGAAAAACTAAAGTACACCAGTTAAAAGGCCAACTCATTCATAGGTACTGCTGGGATTTGAACCCAGGATCTCATGTTTACTAGACAGGCACTTTGACCAACTAAGCCACAGCACCTTGTAGTTGTAATAATAACACTTTCACTAAATGACAGGACATAATATGAAAACAACTTCAAGTAGTTGGAAAAACTAAAGTACACCAGTTAAAAGGCAAACTCATTCACAGGTACTGCTGGGATTTGAACCCAGGATCTCCTGTTTACGAGACAGGCACTTTGACCAACTAAGCCACAGCACCTTGTAGTTGTAATTACAACACTTTCACTAATTGCCAGGACATAGTATAAAAACAACTTCAAATAGTTTGAAAAACTAAAGTACACCAGTTCAAAGGCCAACTCATTCATAGGTACTGCTGGATTTGAACCTAGGATCTCCTGTTTACTAGACGGGCACTTTGCCCAACTAAGCCACAGCACCTTTTACTTGTAATTATCACACTTTCACTAAATGACAGGACATAATATGAAAACAACTTCAAGTAGTTGGAAAAACTAAAGTACATTAGTTAAACGGCCAACTCATTCATAGGTGCTGCTGGGATTTGAACCCAGGATCTCCTGTTTACTAGACAGGCACTTTGGCCAACTAAGCCACAGCACCTATTACTTGTAATCATCACACTTTCACTAAATGACAGAAAGTAATATGAAAACAACTTCATGTAGTTGGAAAAACTAAAGTACACCAGTTAAAAGGCCAACTAATTCAAAGGTGCTGCTGGGATTTGAACCCAGGACTTTTACTAGACAGGCACTTTGACACACTAAGCCACAGCACCTCTTACTTGTAATCATCACACTTTCACTAAATGACAGGACATAATATGAAAACAACTTCAAGTAGTTGAAAAAAACTAAAGTACACCAGTTAAAAGGCGAACTCATTCACAGGTACTGCTGGGATTTGAACCCAGGATCTCCTGTTTACGAGACAGGCACTTTAACAAACTAAGCCACAGCACCTTGTAGCTGTAATAATAACACTTTCACTAAATGCCAGGACATAATATGAAAACAACTTCAAGTAGTTGGAAAAACTAAAGTACATTAGTTAAACGGGCAACTCATTCATAGGTGCTGCTGGGATTTGAACCCAGGATCTCCTTTACTAGACAGGCACTTTGCCAACTAAGCCACAGCACCTTGTAGCTGTAATCATAACACTTTCACTAATTGCCAGGACATAATATGAAAACAACTTCAAGTAGTTGGAAAAACTAAAGTACATTAGTTAAACGGCCAACTCATTCATAGGTGCTGCTGGGATTTGAACCCAGGATCTCCTTTACTAGACAGGCACTTTGACCAACTAAGCCACAGCACCTTGTAGCTGTAATAATAACACTTTCACTAAATGCCAGGACAAATATGAAAACAACTTCAAGTAGTTGGAAAAACTAAAGTACACCAGTTAAAAGGCCAACTCATTCAAAGGTGCTGCTGGGATTTGAACCCAGGATCTCCTGTTTACAAGACAGGCACTTTGACCAACTAAGCCACAGCACCTTGTAGTTGTAATAATAACACTTTCACTAAATGACAGGACATATTATGAAAACAACTTCAAGTAGTTGGAAAAACTAAAGTACACCAGTTAAAAGGCCAACTCATTCATATGGTACTGCTGGGATTTGAACCAGGATCTCCTGTTTACTAGACAGGCACTTTGACCAACTAAGCCACAGCACCTTGTAGTTGTAATTAAAACACTTTCACTAAATGACAGGACATATATGAAAACAACTTCAAGTAGTTGAAAAAAACTAAAGTACACCAGTTAAAAGGCCAACTCATTCATAGGTACTGCTGGGATTTGAACCCAGGATCTCCTGTTTACTAGACAGGCACTTTAACAAACTAAGCCACAGCACCTTGTAGTTGTAATAATAACACTTTCACTAAATGCCAGGACATAATATGAAAACAACTTCAAGTAGTTGAAAAACTAAAGTACACCAGTTAAAAAGCCAACTCATTCATAGGTACTGCTGGGATTTGAACCCAGGATCTCATGTTTACTAGTCAGGCACTTTGACCAACTAAGCCACAGCACCTTGTAGTTGTAATTATCACACTTTCACTAAATGACAGGACATAATATGAAAACAACTTCAAGTAGTTGAAAAAAACTAAAGTACACCAGTTCAAAGGCCAACTCATTCATAGTTGCTGCTGGGATTTAAACCCAGGATCAAACTAAGCCACAAACTAAGCCACAGCACCTATTACTTGTAATCATCAGACTTTCACTAAATGACAGGACATATTATGAAAACAACTACAAGTAGTTGGAAAAACTAAAGTACACCAGTTAAAAGGCCAACTCATTCATAGGTACTGCTGGGATTTGAACCCAGGATCTCCTGTTTAATAGACAGGCACTTTGGCCAACTAAGCCACAGCACCTTTACTTGTAATTCATCACACTTTCACTAAAATGACAGAAAGTAATATGAAACAACTTCATAGTTGGAAAAACTAAAGTACACCAGTTAAAAGGCCAACTAATTCAAGGTGCTGCTGGGATTTGAACCCAGGATCTCCTGTTTACTAGACAGGCACTTTGACACACTAAGCCACAGCACCTTTCTAGTTGTAATTACAACACTTTCACTAATTGCCAGGACATAGTATAAAAACAACTTCAAATAGTTTGAAAAACTAAAGTACACCAGTTCGAAGGCCAACTCATTCATAGGTACTGCTGGGATTTGAACACAGGATCTCCTGTTTACGAGACGGGCACTTTGCCAACTAAGCCACAGCACCTTTTACTTGTAATTATCACACTTTCACTAAATGACAGGACATAATATGAAACAACTTCAAGTAGTTGGAAAAACTAAAGTACAGTTAAAAGGCCAACTCATTCATAGGAAATGCTGGGATTTGAACCCAGGATCTCCTGTTTACTAGACAGGCACTTTGGCCAACTAAGCCACAGCACCTATTACTTGTAATCATCACACTTTCACTAAATGACAGAAAGTAATATGAAAACAACTTCATGTAGTTGGAAAAACTAAAGTACACCAGTTAAAAGGCCAACTAATTCAAAGGTGCTGCTGGGATTTGAACCCAGGATCTCCTGTTTACAAGACAGGCACTTTGACCAACTAAGCCACAGCACCTTGTAGTTGTAATAATAACACTCACTAAATGCCAGGATATAATATGAAAACAACTTCAAGTAGTTGGAAAAACTAAAGTACATTAGTTAAAAGGCCAACTCATTCATAGGTACTGCTGGGTTTTGAACCCAGGATCTCCTGTTACTGACGGGCAGTGTGACCAACTAAGCGACAGCACCTTGTAGTTGAAATTACAACACTTTCACTAATTGACAGGACATAGTATGAAAACAACTTCAAATAGTTGGAAAAACTAAAGTACATCAGTCAAATTGTCAAACAATTCAATTGGGGTTGCTGGGATTTGAACCCAGGATCTCATGTTTACTAGACAGGCACTTTGCCCAACTAAGCCACAGCACCTTGTAGCTGTAATAATAACACTTTCACTAAATGACAGGACATAATATGAAAACAACTTCAAGTAGTTGGAAAAACTAAAGTACCCCAGTTCAAAGGCCAACTCATTCAATGGTGCTGCTGGGATTTGAACCCAGGATCTCCTGTTTACTAGACAGGCACTTTAACAAACTAAGCCACAGCACCTTGTAGCTGTAATAATAACACTTTCACTAAATGCCAGGACATAATATGAAAACAACTTCAAGTAGTTGGAAAAACTAAAGTACCAGTTAAAAGGTCAACTCATACATGGTGCTGCTGGGATTTGA